GGAAGAGCAGCAAGTGGTCTTAACCACTGAGCCATCATCTCTCCAACCCTGGCACAGTTTCTTTAGGTTTACTTCTTTTTGAATTGCTCTGTCTTAGTACTAGTTTCCAATGTAGTTGGTAGTTCTACAGTGACTTTGGAAAGACACCTAACATTAGCAAGTTTTCAAATGAGAATTTGAAATTTATTAATTGAGTAAAAATCTGAGTGCTTTCTATGTGGTTTCTGAATTCTTTGAATTTCTTCTATTGAGAAATAGAGTCTTTCCTCGACTATGGGTTCTGTGACTATTTGTCCACCAGCTTGTATCAAGAATGCTGCTGTTCTGGATTCTAGGTCAGACTTCAGGAAAATGTAACCCTCTGCTTCTGGTCCTTGGGAGACCTGACTCATGGAGTTGGCCACCATACTGCCAGGAAGCCCAAGCAGCCAGTGAAGAGGCACATGTGAAGGGGAGCCGACCTCCCTGTTAAAGCCCTGGGAGAGATTTGCTGTTGACAGCTGGCAGCAACTTACTGCCAAGTGAGTGGAAATTTGAAGTTGGATACCTCAGTTTCCTGTCAGGCAACCTCTGCCGGTGCCATATGGAATAGAGGTGCTTCCAGTTTATCCATCTTTAAATTAACTTGGTCCATTCTTTAGAATAGAGCTGGGCAAAGAAATATAGTGTGATTCACATATATCATTTTACATTTTGTAGTAACCACACTGCAAAAAAATAAAAGCAATCAGACCGAATTACTTTTAGAGAGAAATTTGATTATATAAAAGTATTGGAATTCATCAATATATAAAAATGTTATAATTTCATCATGCAATGAAAATGAAAGTTATGAGCTATTTTACATTCCTTTTTATTATACATGCTTGAAATTTAGTGTGATGACTTCCATAATCATAATGGTTACATGGATGACTGTACTTAACAATCAGTTCCAACCAGCTACATTTCAAATGCTCCACAGCCACATATGGCTAGTGTTGCCTGCACTGGAGGGCACAGCTCTAGAATGAAAGAAAGAGTTGGAACACAAAATTCTCTCACAACTTGATATAGAAAGAAAACGGGATACACAGAGGGGAACTGACCTGGCTGGGGTTAGGCAATCCAGTGGTTTAAATGGTGCCCGCCCCCATATGCCCATGTCACAATTCCTGTAACCCATGAGTGTTATCTTGTCTTTTTGGTTGTGAACCTAGCCTTTAATGCCAAAGGCACCTGTCTAGACTAATCCACAAATACTATCTTATTTCTTCCTAGATGTAATTAACTCAAGGATGTTGGGTTGAAGAGATCATCCAGGTTATTGAGGTGAGCCTGAAATCCAATGACCAGTGTCTTTGTAAGGCACACACATGGGAGGTTAGACAGGAGGGAAGACAGGCTTGCTAAGGAGTAGGAATATGAAGATGGAGTAAGATGTGACACTGGGCCACCAGAAGCAGGAGAGATTTCCATCTGAGTCCTCCAGAGGGAACGTGACTCTGAGGTACACTGATTTAGAAGTTTTAAAAATGGATTTTAAAAACACAGTTTATGTGTGTGGGTGTTGTGCCTGCCTGAGTGTTATGTGCCTGATGTATGAGGAGGTCAACGATGTTGTAGGATCTGCTGACACTGGAGTTATGGATGGTTGTGAGACATCACGTGGGTGCTGGGACCTGAACCTCTACAAGAGCAAGTATGTCTAACCATTGAACCATCTTTCCGGTTTCAGATTAAGAATTTTACTCTCTGGTAAATGTAACAAGCAATATATTTCTATTTGTAGCCACCTCATTTTTGTGACTCTCTTGGGCTGCTGTGGAATTCATGTACTCAGCAGTATGAATGAAGTCTGGTCTGAGGAGACCTTGGCTCCATCACAATACAAAGCCACCTGCTTCCTAGTCACAAATGCCCATCATTTACTCCTTAAGGAGTACAAGTGACCAGAATAGTGACTCTCATGACCTGGATACACACACTAATACACTGATGTTCAGGCTTATGGGACACCATGCCGTGTTTTCCTTTTCCCTTGACTTATTTCTTTTTTTTTAAAACGGGTTTCTTTGTATACCTTTGTAGACCAGGCTGGCCTCCAACTCACAGAGATTCATCTGCCTCTGCCTCCTGAGCTCCATGGGCCACCACTGCCCACCTTGCCTCATCTTTTCAAAGGACATCTTCATTGCTCTCCCTGTTTCCATCCTTCCTTGTTTAAAGTGCATTTCCCATGTGGTACCCAGCGTGATCTGTAACCTATACTGTACCAGGCCACATCTCATTTTTTAAAAACAGCTGTTGTCTCTTTTCCATTCCAGACACAGAGACTGCCTTGCTTTTTGTCCAGCATGATGAGCTGGCTCCTGACCCAGGTCCTTCGCACTTGTTTTTTCTCTATTTAGAACATCTAGACTCAGACAGCACCATGGCTCCCCTTGACTTTACTCAAGCTTTTGCTCAGATGTCCTTAATCATAAAGGTTTTTCTTGGGCACTGACATTCTTTGTTCTTTATAATGCTTTGATTTTTTTTCTGAGACAGGGTTTCTCTCTGTTGCTCTGACTGTGCTAGAACTCTCTCTGTAGACAGACTGTCCTTGAACCTATAAAGATATACTCAAATCTATTGGTCTATAAGCTCCATGAAGGCAGAGACTTTTATCTTGCTTATTTAGTGTCTGGAACAGCATGTGCAACTGTGCAGTTGATTGTTGTTGAATGAATGAAAAAAAAATGAATGGATGAACTCAGGAATGCAAGCTCTATTTAATAATGTCTCTCCACCAAGAGAACTTAGAATTTGGATATTTAGGTGAAATACTATAATGTGAACTAGGAAGAAAGAAAGGAAGGAAGGAAAGGAAGAAAGGAAGGGGGAAGGAAGGAAGACAGAAAGAAAGAAAAAAGAAAGACAGAAAGATCACTGGGCTGGCGTAAAAAAGGTATTCAAAGGCCAAGTTTGACCTCTGACCTGTAGATATCTGGGTCCAATGGGAACCCTATCCCCCAGCCTCCCTTCACACAGCTCTTTCAGGAATGGAATGGCTTTTAGGACAGCAGCCCTTGCAGCTCCAGGCCTAGACACCGTGAGGTAGTTTGTTGTTGTAGACCAAAGTCATTCAGGGCACTTGGTTCAAAAGACAGGATGTGGGCTGTGAGCCTCCAGTCCACCGTTCAAAGGAGATTTCCTTCAGCAGCAATGCCTCCTGGGATGTTTTCCCAAGCCTCCCTGGAAGGTACGGGGCCTCTCAAAAGACTAAGAATAGACAGGCACATCCAGTTTCCCAAACATGTCAACCTTAAAAGTGAGTGCTATTTTTTCCCCTTGTTACCTTTGAATTACTATGTAGGAGAAGGATACTGTATTATAGACGCAGCTCACCATGTGGTCGTTAGATACTTAATAATGACTCCCCACTTCCTAGCTTCCAGGCAGAATTGTCAGAGAGATATGTAAGCTCTACCACTATTGAGGTCCACCCCTTTGTCACCAGTGTGCTCTGTAGTTGGGACAGCCCAGCCACCATTCCACAACAGTGAGACTGTGTGTATACTTTAATCACTCCCATCTCACTATGCTTATCCACAGAAGAATTTACCTGATCGCTATGGGTTGTTATTGGGACCGAATAAGACACTGTAAATGCTGACACTCACCCAGCACTTAATGGTTTACATTTATTTTTTTATTTTTGAACACTTGGTAGTCATGGTACAGGTTACCTTCATTTATTCTGTTACTTACTCATTCAGGCTCATTGGGCTTGTAGGAGGTGTCAGATACTAAACTTGACACCGGGTGACATGAAGGTATCATTGACAGAGTTCACTGTGTGACGCCATCCTTCATTCCCAAGGTGTTGAGCTTGACAGGGGTCGGGGATCTAGGTGCAGTACCTTATATAACACCCAATGTCATCATTGGTTACCTTCTCACCCTTTAGTTTGCATCAGGGAGAGTGTGGCATTGGATATTAGTGTGTCCCAAACACTTTGGAATCTCCTCTCCTAACAAATAAACAAAGGCTTCAGTCTTACATGACCACAGCACCTGGAGAGATTTTAACAACACAAACCTAGGTACATCCAACCGTATAGACCTTGTGTTTTAAGACACTGCACAAATATGACCAGGCTTCGTGAAGCTGGGACCAAAGTGAACGACATTTAGGGAAATATTCATTTGTTAAATTTATCTCCCCTCCTCATTAGCCTCATTTTACAGTTGAGGGAACTGAGTCCTTTTGTGGAGAGAGTTTTCTTCTAAGGGTTCAATAAAACAGAGTCAAGTCTTCCTTGTGGTGGAGTTAGATATGTATAATATAAAGCATGCTCTTCCCCTACCTCTGCAGAACGTGTGTGTGTGTGTGTGTGTGTGTGTGTGTGTGTGTGTGTGTGTGTGTGGCCACAGTCCTTTCCGGATGAGTGACAGCGAAAGCCCATCCCTTCAGGAGACGCATGGAGAATGACCAATGGGATGGATGGAGGGTGTTGGGTATCAGTCTCTGCAGAGGCTGGGGAGAAACTGGCTATGTCCAGCCTATTCCACCCTCATCTCCCTGAGCCCCTCAGGCCCTTTGGCATTTGGTTCTCATTGGGGCATCGGAGGTGCTCATCTTAATGCACTTGGGGCTGAGGATTGGGTGCCAGGGGTGCGGCTCCGGTCTGTCCAGCGTAGTCTGCGGTCCCTGCGCTGCAGCGCTGCGGCTAAGAACACTAGGTTGGGAGGCCGGCTGGCTGCAACGTGTGTGTGTGTGTGTGTGTGTGTGTGTGTGTGTGTGTGTGTGTGTGTATGCGTCTGTGTGTGTGTGTGTGTGTGTATACGTGCGCGCGCGCCCGCCTATGTGTCTGGTGCCAATATGTAAAGCAATTGGCGGCTCTGGGCGGGGCCTGGGTTCGATGCAAATGAGGGAGGCGGGGTTGCCCGGTGGCTCCGCCTCCCTCCCCCGCAGCTGGGGCCAGCGGTGCCAAGCACAGCTGGACCAGCGGCAGCAGCTGGGCGAGTGACAGCCTAGCTCCGCGCGCGCGGCCGCCGCCAGAGCCGGCGCGAAGAGGCAGCGCGGCCCCGCGGTCCCCGGGCGGCAGCAGCGACTGCCTAGTCCCGCGCCTCTTTGGGCCCGCAGCCCCGCGGTCCCGCCGCCCCGGGGCCGCCACCTCTCGGGGCTCCCCCAGTCCCCGCGCGCGCAAGATGGCTGACCCGGCTGCGGGGCCGCCGCCGAGCGAGGGCGAAGAGAGCACCGTGCGCTTCGCCCGCAAAGGCGCCCTCCGGCAGAAGAACGTGCACGAGGTGAAGAACCACAAATTCACCGCCCGCTTCTTCAAGCAGCCCACCTTCTGCAGCCACTGCACCGACTTCATCTGGTGAGAGCGCGCGGCGCGGGCCACCTGCCCGGGGCCCCGGAGGGCAGAGACAAGCGTGGGGACCCTTCTAGCCGTCCCCGGCGGGGAGGGACCGTGTGCTCGTCCCCATCCCACTGGACCCTTCTGTCCCGCTCTCTGGGTTGGCTAATCCCGCAGGTGCTGGGTCCTCTGGTCCCACACGGTTGGTAGCCAGGCGCCTCCTGCCCTCTTGCACTCTGTGGCTTGAGCACCCAGGGACAGCGCCGCAGGCGCCTTTTTGACACCTGGTTCAGGGCGCAGGGTGACTGTCCCTCCTCGGCAGGGCAGCTCCGCGGGTGTCTTTCTCGCCTGGGGTTCCCGATCTTTCTGCCTTCTTCCGGGCTCGAGGCACTCTCACCCTCACCCCTCCTTTCCGGGCAGCTCCCTGGGGTGTCCTCTAGTTCCTCGGGGCGTGGAGCATCCTTCCCTCCTCCGTGTCCCCAGAGTAGCGCCCTGGGTAATCTCTTACTGCGCCCCCAGATTCCTGAGCCCCCTTATTCCTCAGTTCTCACCCTCACGTTGCTGCAGTGCCCCTTTATTCTCCCTGCCTCTCCAGGAGTGGGACTACCTTTTCTTTCTCCTAGTCTCTCAGGGGACATCACCGCGGAGGAGTCCCTCTCATCCTCCCTCTAGAAAGGTCCTTTTTTCTTTCCCTGAGGGTACTCCCGGCATTTCCTTGGGCAGATATCCAGCCCGCCTTCCGCCCCCACCCGGACGGAAATGCACCCTCGCACCCCGCCACCTGGTGGTCGTGGTCTTGTCTGAACTGCAGGGGAGATGTGAGGGGGGAGGTAAGTGCCAAGCCCCCACAATGTACCCCACAATCCTATCCAAGGTGGAAGACTCTTGAACACTGGCCTGTAGCTAGGAGGTTGTATCTGAGATAGAGGGACAGTGAGAAGGGAGGGGGCTACTGTGTGAAACTAGCTGGTAACTGGACCCCTCAAACTGATACTCCTCCTTGTGCTTTTACAGGGGCTTCGGGAAGCAGGGATTCCAGTGTCAAGGTAGGTTCTGTGACTCTGTGGATGCTGCTGGTGGAAAGTGAGGCTAAAACAGACTTCACAGATGTGGCTGAGTTAGGAAGAGTGATGTCAGGGTGACCTCCCAGGCTAGGAATCCTTCACCACCACAGGGTCCTTTTAAGGGGTGTGTGTTTGGGCCAGTGATGCACCATCCAGGAGAGGCCAGTGGAGCTGGAAGGCCCTAAATGTCAAAAGGTGCATCCATCCCTCTGCCTTCTGAGCGTTCTCTTGGAATTGCCAGCCGTGCTTAAGTAAGGAAATGTGTTGAAGGACTCCTGTGTGTGGAGGGAACCTCTTTCTTCCTGATCTCAGCCCTTTCCTGTTCATTGCTCTTCCCCACCTCCCAGAATGAGGTTCAGCCTCTTTCCCCTGCTTTGCAGAGGTCTCAGCAGGTGGCTGCCTCCTCTGCAGATGGCGCATCCCCTAGAAAAGCAACTGTGGTTTCCCCTGGGCCTCCTCCCTTTCTGAAAGGGGTGGTTGCACATAGGGTGCCTCTCGGATCCTGCCTGAGATTGCCCTTTTTAACTTCTGAGGAGGCACAGGAAGGACTCCAAGAGACTGGTTGCCTGGGTCCTTGCATCTGGCTTGAGAGCCATGATTCCATAGGGGTGCCCTATCAGATATCAGAGACCTGGTGACCTCTTCTGCCTCTAGGGCTCATGGCTACAAATGGACTGTGGACTGGGCAGTGCAGCTCAGGAGAGTGCTTGCTTTGTGCCAGAGAGGTTCTGGAGTGTGTCACCCGAAATGGGGGAGGGGAAAAGATGGGTTTTAAATTGGATTGCCAAAGATGACTTGAGACTTGTTTAACCCTTAGAATGCCATAGTTTGTGAATTTGGTGTTAGCATCCTAGAACTGCAAGATCTCTCTCTCTCTCTCTCTCTCTCTCTCTCTCTCTCTCTCTCTCTCTCTCTCTCTCTCTCTCACACACACACACACTCATGCAAACAGCTGCAACTTGTTGAACACTGACTCTACTTTCATGCTGAAGCAATCATTTGGAACTGAGGGCATCCATTTGCCAAGACAGGGAACACATTTACCACTGTGTTTGTCCATCTAATACTGGCCTACTTCTGATCTTCTTAGCCATTTGAATTTGCTTGTTTGCCCCCTTGCCCCTTTAGGCCAGGTGTAGTTGAGTTTAGTAAGAAATGGCTCTTTGTTCCACTCTTCCCCTACTTTCCTCTCCCTTGGCCTCCCCTTCCTTGGCCTCCTTGCTCCTCCTATCTTTTCCTCTCCCCTTCTCCATCCCCTTTCCCTCTTCTCTCTCTGTTTGACTTCTGGCCCAAACTGGCTTTGATCTGGATGTTCTTCTAGCCTCCCAAATTCTGGGATTGCAGGTGTGCTCAGGGTAAATTGACATCCACTACCTTGTAAACTGGGCTTAAATCTGGAGAAGAAAGCGTAAGGGTGTGAACCCTGCAGTGTGTCTTAGTGCCCATGAGTGAGTTTTGCCTTGCAAGGTTACTCTGCAGGTAAAAATAAAAAGACCCCAGCAAGTGAACTTGGCTCTGTGATTTGCATGGAATGCTGGCCTATAGTGTATGAGCCCTGATGCCTAACGCTGCAAGTTCTTATTTGATTCTGGAGTGAGATGGGCGAAACTTCTAGACCTTTCCAACTTCCTTTGCTAAGATTTGGAGCCTCAGTTTTATGCACCACATGGAAGGACTTCCCAAGTTCCTGCTGGTGGCAACAAGTTAGGCCAGTAGCACAGTTTGGATTGTTTCTTCTAGAACTTTGTCTCATGTTCTTGAACAAAATTCTGATGGTGACTTGGTGTTGGAACTGTGTAATCTCTATGAGGTTGCCTTTCACTTCCATGAATTGGTTTCTGTTTTTGTCTCTTGCCAAGGTCAGGGGTGATTTTTTCAAGCATTGCTTCTGTGGCTCTCCTGCGCCACCTGCTCTCCTGTTATTGATGGCTGGGAAAGTCAGCTTTGGAATGTGCGGGGGATGGAGCATATGGAGCAGGAGAGCCTTTCATCCAGAGCCTAGGGGAAAAAAATCAGAATTAAAGTTTTCAAGAAGTCTGATCCACTTTGGATAAGACTTTCCAGAGCCGGGCAGAGCACTTGCCAGTGGGTTGACTCCCTGGGCTCCAGGGGACAAAAGCAAGGGTAGGAGATAGGTATTTTAAAAATCATTTCTCTTTTCATTTTTCCACCCCTTAGATCTCTGAACATCTGGTCCTCTATGCTACTGCTTTGACAGTCTATTTCATCTGAGTTGCAGTGGGTAGGAGGAAGAAGAGGGGGTGGGGTAAATTGATGGGCCCTGAACTGAGCTGCTTAGAATGAGGTACATCCCAGAAGGAGGGGAGCGAGTTTATCCCTGGTACACAGTGCTGCTTGGGACTAATGCTGGAATCATAGGCGAGCTCCTTTATCTGATTATTTTCAGTGCCTTGTGTCTGATATTTTTCCTTACAGTAAATTTACTTAAAATAGGACCAACATTTTAACAGAAAACACACAGGGTTTATTCTTTTACAGAGTCCTGGTGGTCCTTCAATCTTCTGTGCTGTCATCCTAGAGAGCAATAGTTATCTCACAGTTCAAAAAGATCCTGGATTCTCCAGTCTTCAGGCCTCCTTTCAGCCAGCAGGAAGCAGCAAAGGGGTGAAATAAGTCAAAAGACACATGTTCAGTGGCCTTTAGGGAAGTGGCCTTGAGAGACTGTTATATATAGTCTATTGGCCAGAACTTAATGCCATATCCACACCTTGTTGCAAGTGAACAGTAGTGTTTAGCACAGGTAGCACATTCCCAGCTAAGAGCTGGGGGAGGGGTGTTTCTTTCTCAAAGTGGAAGCAGAGATTGGCTAGAGAGTAAGAGGGTGTGGGAGGATCCCAAGACCTAAAAGCCCCTGCCACTGTCTCCATGCTCCTCCGGTGTGGTATCATGGAAATTGGGGGTGCAGGTCAGAGCATCTAGAAACCATGGGGAATTATGGATTTTTATAGACTCAGGAAACTTTCTTAAGAATAGATTTCTTGCTTTTGTACAGCTAAAGGACAAAGCTTAAGTTAACTATCACATAACTTCTCCACTTCTCCTCCCTCCTCTTTCTTTGATAATGCCTCTGGTGACAGAGGACTGGGGCTGAGGATCCCTTCTGAAATTGCATACGCTTTGGGTTAGAAATGGAACCCATTTCTAATGTCACAGATCAGATCTTTCTTTCTCTAAGGCATTCTTAAGAGAAACCCAGCAACCTGCATGTTATGCTTAAACTTTAATTGACACAAACCCAAAGACACAAACGATAGGGTGGAATTCAACTTTTTTTTGAAGTTGCTTCAGTAAAAATAGAGAAGCGTTAAAATGTCCAGATCTAGATTTTAAAGCATGGTTTGGAATCAGCCAGCGCTGGACTCCAATCTCTGATCTGCTATCTGCTCACTGTGTGACCTTGGGAAACCCATCTCCACACTGTAGCCTTACTCTTTCTTGGTAAAACAGGACAGCAGTGTCTGCTTTGTAGGGTTGGGGAAAAAGGCAAGGAGGTGGTTAGAGAGACGTATCCACAGTGGATGTAAAAGTTAGAGAGACGTATCCACAGTGGATGTAGAAATTAGACAGACGTATCCACAGTGGGTGTAAACAGCTCTACGAAAGGTGATCACCGTTAGTGGATCTGGTGGGAAAGTGTGTCGAAGCCGGGCCAGAACTGACTCTGAACCACATGAAATGACTGAGTCTGCCCCACATGCTCAGTTAGCGCTGTTTCTCTGTAGGCTTTGGGTAACATCAGAGTATGTGCTTCAGTGTCGGGACGCAGAGGGCAAGGCTTCCCTCATGAGAGAGATCTGAACTTGCCTTGGGCTCTCTAGAAAAACCCCATGGCACTAATATTCTGATGATAAAGAACTAGAATTGATGATTACAATGAGTAAGTCTTTTCCCCTTCCCTGAGTGAATTCTAAAACACGTGTTTTTAGCCTCTTGGTTGAATTATTTTAAAAAAGGAAGAAAGAAAACCAACTGTGAGTGTCACATGAACCCTGTCACTGTTACTTTCCCTCAGTAGGAACTTTATAGACTGCGAGTGTACTGTTGTGTGTAGTTAGCACAGACAGATTAGGGCATACATGTGGAAGAGTGTCCGCTGCCACCGATATGGACTGAGGCTGAGGTGAGGCTCAGCAGAAGAACGCTTGCTTGGTATGTGAGAGTCTCAGGTTCCATCCCCAATCTCGAAAACCAGAAAACTAAAAGGAACTATCAATCAAAAGGTAATTTTATTTTGCACACAGCTTTCTCTCTGCACTTGTATTGTTACCCTGAGCAGTCTGGGTTGAACTTTCTCAGTAAACTCAGAATCAGCAAGGCAGACTGCAAGGTGGTAGACATGGCCTGAGTTGCTGTACCCACCCCCATCCTCAGATCCCATCCCAGAGCCAAACTCCACTGACTTGCTGGCTGAGCCCAGTGATGCTCTGGGAGGTTTTCATGCCCGAGCATGAGAGGCAGAGCAGCTTCACAGTTTTGTGTTTGATGGATCCTTTTGCACCTGAAGTAGAACTGCAAGCTCAATGTCCCTATCAAAATAGGAATCTGGTAAGTGGGCTAACCGTGGGTTGAGAATGGAGGGATGATCTGTCTGAGAGGCAATATAAAATTCATTTCTGAGCAGTGGAGCCCTCTGGGGGAGCCTGAGGCTTTGTTATTGAGCAGTGGAACACCTTCCCAAGTAAATACGGAAAATATGACCTTTGGAAATCTGGTTGGTATGATATACAGGTTCTTCTTAACTAATTCAAAGATGCATTATTTCCAGTGATAGTGATCCTCCAGGCCCTGCCTAGAGCTGGTGAAGCTCACAGACAGTGCAGCTGAGCCAGTGAGGGAGACTCTTAAGAGTTGGTGACTGGTCAGAAGAGGGCTGAACATTCGAGGATAATTTGTCTGGGGCTGGAGAGGTGGCTTAGGGATTCAGAAAGTGCACTGCTCCTGCAGAGGGCCTAAGTTCAGTT